CCGGCAGGCGAGGTAGAGGAGGTCGTTCTTCAGCTGCTGCTCAATCAGGGTACACGCCCCGTTGTGGCGACCCGTGTTGGCGGCGGTGGTGTCAAAGGACATCCCCATTCCCCACGACCCGGTCAGCGACGCTCCACTTATCCAACGCCTCCACGACGGCCTTCGCTTAATTCGCCCCTCTTCCACTGGGAAGCTTCGCCACCTGAAGCAGCTGAACCTCCCCTCCCCCAGACACGAGGATGGGCAGGCGGTCGACGTGGACGTTGCTGGTGAGATCCGGCATCAGCTTCCCGTCCCAGTGGACTACCAAGGGGCCTTCTACTCGCAGTTTCTCCTTGAGGGCGAAGGCCAGTTGCTCGCGGTGACGACGGCGCTGGCTTTGGATCGATGTCCTGGTTGATGTTGTACTCAACTGTGTCGTGCCCCAGGGCACGCGCTGTCTCGGTGAGGACAAACACTGCGCCACGGTCGCTCACCTTGACGCGATCCAAAGAGGCCGCCACGTCCGGGGTGACGATGTTGAGGTTCGCTCGAGGCCGTTTGGGTGGGACTGGGGAGATACCACGTGTGGGGCTTCCTTCGGCGCTGGTGCTAGAGGAGATTGAGGACGAATCCTCCAACTGGACTCTTGCCGCGGACGTCGACGCCTCCTCCTCCGCGCGTCGCTTCCTCGCCTCCTGTGCCGCTTGCCGCTGTGACGATCGCTGTTCTTGGGCAGCTAGTGCTGTGTCAATAGTAAAATTTTAAGGTCGTTGAGCACCGGGTAAATATTATTCGATTTAAAAAAAATAATACTCGCGTGGTTTTCTCATGGAGTGGAACAAGAATCCGGGTTTGGAGACTGGATTTTCAAACTTTCGAAAATAAGGGCCACCCTAGTGGCACATGGATATGCATTGCCTAGTGGGTGCCCACCTACATACCAACTTTCAGCGCAATCGGCCAAGTAGTTACCAAGATATTGCAACAATTGCAAAACTGACACCTCTTCGTTTTGCACGTGGCACGTGCATAAGCGGTCACCCACATGCATCGAGAATAGTCCAATACTTGGTAGAAGGAATGAAGCTACCCTAGAAAAATCATCGAATGTAAATCGGTCAAGTGGTTGCTGAGATATAAGCCTCGCAAAAGCGTAACCACGGCCGGCCGGCCGCTCATATGCAGACATTTCCGTTAATCTACGAAAGACTACGCTTGCTTCGCTCGCTACGTATTAATTTCTTCAGACTAACAATGCCTCAGCCATATTGGCACGCTACTGGCTGAAAATAAGTTGCTTAAAAAGACCCACTGAATCGCCACGATTTTAAGTGCATGTCATCTCTATGTATATAAGATCTCTATGGGGGAGTTAGGTAGGTAGGTACCTAGTGGCTAGTGTATTTCCCGATTAGTGACTTTGACGATCACTCTGAACCTGCCTGTGTATAAATGATAAAATGAGCCTCACCTTTAAATTGCAGGCCTCTTTGCAGGAAATAGATTTCTTATTTACAACAAGAGGCTTCCAATTTATTTTATTTCAATTTTCAGGGCAAAAGCGCATTACACAGTCTTCACATTGATGTCATCAAAACAAAATGCACGCCATAAGGATTATGTTTGAAAGTGGGAATTTTAAACAGTAACTCTATGATGACGTAACAAAAATAATAGAAATTGGGACTGCCACCACAGGTAAACGCATTTTTTCATGCATGTTTCACACAAATACGGAAATTTTACCAACAGCATAATACATAAATCAATTGAAAGTAGCATCTGACTAATTTATTATTTTTTTTTGCTAGTAATGTGATCTGTTTTGAAAGTTTTTTATGACGTCAGGACTCAGGCTTAAGGATAGTTCTAATAGAAATATTATTGCTTGTAAAATATGCGCAAGAAATCGCCGCATTCGCCGCAGCATTACGTCCGTGGAGTTGGCGTCGAATTCGTTTTTTCATTTTATAACGATCGTCGATCTGATTTTGTTCCCAATAAACGCCCATTTGCACCCATTGTGTAATGTGTATGCCTATTTTCGACACTCACCCCGCGTTCTCTTGGACGGTGAAGATTCTACGCCGTCCAGCCAATCACGTTCCATAATCGCAGCGAGCCGAGCCCCCACTGACCTTGAACGGGATTGGCCGGACGACGTAGAATCTTCGTCGTCCGAGAGACATCGAACGCGGGTCAGTCTCATCCTGCTATTTATTCTGCGGCATTCTCTACATCAAGTCGCAATTTAGTCATCGCTGAGCAGTGGCGGATCCAGGGGGGGCAAAATGGGCATTTGCCCCCCCCCCAAACGGCATGAATTTAACATTACGCCTATGGACGATGCATGGAAAGAATCGATAAATTTTTATGGTTTGCCCCCCCCCCCCCAAACCTCTGAGCTGGATCCGCCTCTGTCGCTGAGCGTTCATGGGTGTTACCAAAATTGGCTTGTCGCATTATCGCCATCAAGGCCCTATATACCAGGTAGGGTCGTCCGGCGATTCTACCTGATCGTGACGTCAGCTCGTGACGTCATCTGGGGGCAAGTCTTGAAGTCCCGCTTAAGTCCTATGCAAATGGGCGATTTTTGAAGCGCTCTAGAACAAACTCTGCTAAAGCTAGCACAAAACTAAGGGCATCATCGGAAAGCCGAGACATTTTTCTTCGAATTATCTAAGAAGCCTTTTTCACTAAACCCATTAGTTTTTCCAAAAATGCGTAAAAAAGCCCCCATGCCTCCGCAGCCTCCCTTCCGCCGGCCGCCACGCCGCCGCGGTAGTGTAGTGGTTAGGATGCTTGCGCCGTAATCCAAAGGTCGTGCGTTCGAATCTAGGCGCGGGTCGTGCTTAAATTGAAATTGCAAGCAGAATACCTATATGTTTTTTCTTGATAAATCACGTTTATTACAGCTAACCGCTCATAAAACTATCGATAACAATTGACTGAATCCCAAAATATAGAATACATTCTAATAAAACAAATTCAAATATGGCGGCCGTTGCGCCAGGCTCCGCCCCCGACTCCGCCCCTTCGTGTGACGTCATCTGTGCACTTGGACACACAGGGAGATAGGGGACGACATGGGCCTGATCGCCATAACTAATCGTTTTTGCCTCTGCATGGCAGTTTAACCCGCGCCCTGATGGGGGGGGGGCCATTTTGGCCCCCCCCCTGTGGTTTTTCTTAAATAGCGAGAAAACGGCGGCGCGCAGCGCCGCCAAATTTTGGGTACCTTACCGGGCATCAATTTGACACCTTCACACAAAATTTCAAGTCACAGGTCACCTCAGGTCAGGAGTTATTGAGGTCAAACTGAGGTCATGTTCGAGCAAAAATGAGCAAAAAACATGACATCTTGAAACGCTCACCAATTCTACAGTTAACAAGCAATTTTAAAGTTCTTTATGTGGTTGTGTAGAGAAAAGACGGCGCTACAAAACTGCTATCTCGGATTTTCGAAATTTTGGGATTTTGACCCCCAAAAATCAAAAAAATTGATTTTTTTTAGAAAAACTCAAAAAATTTCCAAAAATTTTTCGAATTTCGAAAAAAAACCGGAATATATGTGATAGTCCCTGCGCTCTTCGATATACATACCAAATTTTAGATCGATACCTCTTTTTTTGGCCAAGTTATAGGGAAAAAACTGTTAAAAATTGATGACGTCAAATTTTTGAACTCAATTTTTAGCAGTTCTAGACCTCGTAGCGCAAAACGGAGACCACCATTGAACTCCCCGTGACGAGCTGCATCGAATCGATACCCATTTTATGCAAAAATATCAACTTTGAAATTTGACCTAATTTGACCTGACCTTGACCTGACCTTGACCTGACCTTGACCAAAACGTGACCTAAGCTGGCCCTAAAGTCTGTCTGACCCACATAATCGCATTTGTCATGTAAAATGGACCATAAAACATGTATCACACGACACTTTCATATTGTGACCCCCCAGTGACCTGACCTCTGTGACCTGACCTGGTATCAGTGACCTCAAATAGCAAAATATGTGTTTGAAGAGCATTTCTCCATCGATGATTTTCAATGAAATGCATTTTACTCGATTTTACAACGCATTTCTTGAAATGCCTGTAAACGGTGAAAATTCGACCTTTGACCTGACCTGTGACGTCATCGGTTTGACCGAGGTCAATGAAATTGGGTCACAAGGTAGTTCCCCGCTGGGGCTATCCAACACCGTTTACCGCTTGTCGCTATGTTGCGTGGTTCTCGAGATCTGAGGGGGGGGGGCCAAAATGGCCCCCCCCCCATCAGACCGCGTTGCTCGGCAGACCCCATCTGGGCGCGGGTTAACCAGGTTGTACTACATATTATCCGCTATTACGAATTTACGACCTTAGCTGGTGGCTACAACGATGACCCGGACTACATCAACAAGTCAATCAAAATATCAATCAAAATATCACAAATATCAAAAAATCAATCAAAATATCACAAATAAGACAACCATGATGAAAAAAATAATGGTCGTAGACGATGTAGATTATTCGGCTCTTTCATCAACAACCAGTTGATCGTTCCCCCAGTTGAATGGACCCCGTCTCTCTATAATACCCACTGTAGTCTGAAAGCCTGCCAACTTCGTTATGTTATCTAAGCCATGCGCTTATCTCGGCTCTCGAAGCCCTTGCCTGTTCACAATCGACTTTTCATTGGCTTATTCCTGGAATGATTATATCGACGCTCGCCATGGGGCGGGGTAGCATGACGCACCCATTAGGTCGGAGTAGTAAAGGAATCTTGGACTAGGCTTCCGGTAGACTTCGAAATGAAGAATCGAAGCCGAGTGTAAAGCTCATTTTAACGATGAGACGATACCATGGCAGATACTACGCGACAGCGGGTTCAAGGGCGATGGACTCGAGTCTGTGGTCATGGTATTTGATGTTTGCGCTTACTTGAAGTCGTTCTTCGTAGTCTTCCAGACTGTCATCAAACGCTCCATTCCAAAGCCACATCGCAAACAAAACAGCAAACCGTCGTTGGCGATTCTCAATATACTTTAATGTATTAATGAAAATCTCCAACTAAATCACAGAATATGAACGCAGCTGTAACTACAAACAATGAACACTGACGAACAGATACCGAGGCTGCCCATATTGTCCGCTAGAGAACACCCCCTGCATCCGAACGCCGTCGTCAGTGCGGCGGCACAGCGCGTGTCGCCGCGGCCCGGGGCGCAGCTCCGTCACGGCGGCACACACACCAACAGCTGCGTAACGGCGGCGGCGGCGGGCGCGTCACGCGTCACGCGGCCCGTCACATAGGACAGAATTTGATGAGATTAGGTCAGCTGCGGGGTTTGTACAACATTACTGTTAAATAGTCTCTATGGCGGCATGGGCAGACACGCATACACGCGCGGTCCGTCCGACCGCCGTCGGCGGCGGGCGCTCTCTCCCACTCTGGCTCCCACTCACTCTCTGGCCGGCGCGGCGGCCCACGTCCGTCCTGTCCAGCGCGCTCCGGCCGCCACGCGCGCACCACTCGCACTCGCTCTCGGCAGACGGGTCGCGTCCAATATAAAACCCAGTAATTACACAGAAAATAGCATAATGATCGGGGGTGGGTCGGGCAGGAGGCGGCCCGGGCGCGGCCGGCCACGCGCGCCGCGCTGGCCGCTGACTATGGCCCGTCTCCGGGCGTTTCGCGGCGCTCCGGCCGCGCAGGGCACTTGGTTCGGTCTGTCGGACGTCGCCGCTAGAAGTCGGCGAACTCCTTGGCACATTTCTCCGTGGAGGACACGTGTAACCGCTCCTCCTCGTAGTCATCGAAGTTGGACGTGTCGCCCGGACCCTTGCACTTGGGGATGAACGGCGCCTCCACCTGGCGGACGAACACAGAGTTAGTGGTGCACTGGGAGTCTGGGACGTCGCAGCAGCCCACCGCTTATAGCCCGACCTGTCATTTTTACACCACCGTGAACCTAACCACAGATAGCTACTACAACTTATAAAACACGATAGGCGTTACATTAACAGTGTTAAAATCTTAATCAGTAACACAGTTTAATCACGACGTCTTGCTCACTGAGTTCTATCAACCACAGAACCGCCCGTCGCCCCGTCCGCCCGTCCGTCTCACATGCCCTGCTCGATGCTGCGGCGGCGCTAAAAGTCGGCGAACTCCCTGGCGTAGAGTGCCTCGGCCGACTCGACCACCGCGTTCGGATCCTCCTCATACGTGTTGAAGTTGGACGTATCGTCGGCAGACTGCAGCGTCGGCAAGAAAGGCGCCGGCACCTAGCCAGACGTGCGGCCGGCGCGTCAGCCGAGCGCGCTAGCACCGAGCGCAGTGCGCGCACCGCCACCGCCACCGCCACCAGCGCCGCCGAGCGCCGGCCCGCGGCCGCCGCCGCACACGGCCGAGCGGGGGAGGAGAAGAGCATGAAGAGGAATGGGGAGAAGAGAGCTAGGGGAGGGTGGAGAGTGAGTGAGAGGTGGGTGGAGGGCCGCATGGCTGGGAGGCAGTTTAGATATTCGGGGAGAGGCGAGTGGCATTGGAGGAGGAGACTTCAGCTGTTTTGACCGTGGTAAGAGGGAATGAACGACGAAGAGGCGAGAAAAGAGGGCGGTAGACCACCGTGTGTTTCGGGACGGCCGTGGGTCGGCGCTCAGCCCAGTGAGGCGACTCAGCTAGTCCGCGAGCCGTTCAGGGAAGCATAGGTGGCAGCACTAGAGGTGGCGTAGAGGGCAGCACTAGGGACAGGAGACCGACTACAAATTGAGCAAACCGAACTGAGTCAGAAAACCGGAGCAAGATCAGAGAACAGAAATTAAAAGAAAAAGTGCAGAAATAGTGATAAAAGCATGCTATCTATACAATCAGTTAATTAGTCACATCCAAAACAGCCACATCTCTGAGAAGCATGAACAACGGCAGATACGCCGAAAATGCAACCATGCAGTTTATGCCACAAGAAGGCAACGCAAACCGAAAATTCACGGACCAGCGAGAAAAGAAACAGAGAACTACCTAAGTTCCGCGCTCGATCGTACCTTCTTCTGATAGACGGCGATCCAGTCGGTGGTGGCGAACCACTTGTGTCCCTTAATGTCGTTGACACCGTTCTTGAGGTTGCCGTAGCGCTTGGTGAGGTCGACCTGCAGCAGGTTGCGCAGCAGGTCCTTCAGCTCCGAGCTGAAGTGGGACGGGTAGCGCACCTGTCGACAGAAAGGGAAAACAGTCAGTCACAGCGGACACAACACTCGCACCAGCGTGGTATCAACAGGTCACATTGTCACTCTGTCCCCCAGCTGTTGTTGAACACAGCTTCCCTAGCCGCGGGGAGAGCGACATTACCTACGGCAGACCGCCGCGGCGCCGCGCCGCGCCGCGCCCGGCGGGTAGGCAGTCCCGGCGCGGCCGTCACTCGCCCAGGGCTGAATCAATACCTGGCGGGGCGGGGCGGGGCGGGAGGAGAGGGGGACGACCGTCGGCTGCCGACCCACGCCGCCGGCCGGGACGAGACGAGACGACGCATCGCCAGAGGACAAGAGGTGGCTGCGGCAATGTCCAATGTCCATAGCATGGGACAGGTGCTAACCAGCCTGCAGCATTGAACAGAGCAGCAGCACAGCTCGCCTACCTAACAGAGCACTGGACAGGAATCACAAAACGGTACGTCTATGCAAAGTGCCCAAAGCGCGGAAGGAGGCATCCAGCTGGACCGCGTTACTTGACTATCCGTCACTCAGCCAGCCGGACCTTGCCACCTAACAAACAAGATAACGAGACTATAGTATGCATGCCTCCTCTACCCAACAAACACTGCAAAAAAAGCCACTAAGCCAACCGGTTCGCGCTATCAAATCTCCCCCAGCAGATTCCTCCAATACGGCACGGACGGCGGGAATTCAAGTCCTCTCGGAGTCCGGGATGTCGGCCCGACAGAGGACACCTACTGCGCAGCGGCCGAGCCCCAGCGCGCGGCTGCGCGTTCGTCGCCAGGTGACGGTCGGTGCCAGCCGCACCGCGCCCGTCGTGACCGACCTTGACCCCGTCGCCGCCGACGGCGCCGTCACGCACTGCGTCGGCGCCGACGCGTCGCCAGCAGCGCGAGCGGGCTCAGCTGGGGTGTAATGGGGCGGAAGGCTGCAGGAAAGGGACTCTGTTTGAAGACAGTGGATCATAAACGAACGACGGCAGGGCCGAGAGAAAACAGAATTAACGGTTAATGGCTACAGCCCGACGGGATTTCTTAGCAAATACGGCTGGAAAAACGCCATATATGAGAGATGAAATGCGATCTGAAAATCGAAGCCAAAAATACTCAACTCTTCACGGCGAATGACGAATCCCCACACCTGTCGAAACCCTCTCTGATGCCGTGACAGCCGGTATCCGCCTGCTACTCTGATAGATCGCAGCCAAGTTCAGTGCTAAAAGGCCATCGCTGACGGGTGCCAGAAACAATGACGCATGACATATCCTACCGCCCACCACTGCCCGTAACGGTATTCGAATAGCCCTTCTCTTGTGACTCATCACATAACTTCAGCAACAGTGCTGGTGAAGGGGCACGTACGACTGAGCACTGGGCACTGTGTAGCGCAGTAAACACACTCGCCAGGGTGTAATTTCGTATGGCGCGTAGTGCAGAGACCCCTCCCCCACGGTGGCCCCCGGCCTCTAAGCCCGCAGTCTCCGGCTCTCGGAGGTGACACGTGCAGTTTGGCGGGTTGGCTCCGTCCGTCTGCTGACCGCAGGGCGCAGCTCGGCGTCTCGCTGACCGCAGACGGAGCTCAGGACCATATCGGGAGTCTCCGGCGAAACCACCGACACCGCCGGCCAGCCACCGAAAACGGACAGAGCCGCGGTCTGGACAGCGCTGCTCGTCAGGGTGGGATGTCCAATGGACACCCCACCCTGTGATCCATGTGATGTGTGTCTGTCCATGTGAGTCTAGCAGACTCTGCCGTCCTCTGATGTAGACTCGGCAACCGTGATCGCAACCATTTCAGTTCCATCTCCGTAAGAGGACTGGCTGTTTTAATCGCGTCCGTAAACTCTGAGCAAAAAGTACCTGTCCCCTGGACACAGCCGGGTGTTTTCCCTGTTACATATTACCTACCCGTACCTATTGCCAATATCTGAGCGGAATTACCCGACATGAGTTCCCTATCGCTCGCCCCGCCGCCCCAACAGCAGCCCCCAGCAGCCCAACACCAGCTGCAGCCTTACGGCTTGGCGTCCGGACAACGGCGGCCAGCCTATACTCAACGTCCTGGCGCTCGGCGAAAACAAAAAGAAACAAATAACCGAACAAAAACGCAATATGGCACGGCCGCGCTGCTGCTGAGGAGCACGCTCCGACGTTTATGAGACTGCGCTGCGAGTGGACAAGCGAATAAGCATGCACCGAACGAATCGCAAAAAGAAGGTCAAGTAGGCGCGCCTGGACAATGTGACAAGGAACGCGCATACTTTACAAGTTTCCAGACACTAATTAAGGTATGACTAAAGTAAGTCTCAAGCTCCATCGAGCCTGAAGTCACCCAGGACCGACTCTGCCCCGCCGACTGACGCAGTTTCTGTCAGCTCGCGGAGGGCTCGCGGTGGTCGGTCCCATTGGTCGCGTCACCAGTCTGGCCGGCAGCGGTTATTTGGCGACGCACGCGACACGGGCCGTCCATTAGGAAATGGTCGGCGCTCAGCTCTCACGGCGACTGCGCAGCGTCAGGGCGCGGCGGCTGCCAGTTGCCACTATCGGGGAGGGAGAGAGGGGGAGCGCGCAGCTGCTAGGAGCTGGCGAGGGAGAGAGGAACAGAGCTACCAGGAGCTGGCAAGGAGAGGACAGGGCAGCTACGTAGAGCTGGCGAGAAAGAGGGGAAAACAGATGTCAGGTGCTGGCAAGGGGGAGCGCGCGGTTGCCGAGAGCTCGTGAGGGAAAGGGGAATGCAGCTACTGATCTGCAGCAAGGGGAGACGACACTGCGCAGTTTACGGCGTCCGTACCTTTCCGGCCACGATCCGCTCATAGATCTGGATGGGCTGGTCGGCGAAGAAGGGCGGGTAGCCGGCGGCCATCTCGTAGATGAGGACGCCCATCGCCCACCAGTCCACCGCCTTGTTGTAGCCCTGTGGACGGAGGAGAGGGTGGTGTCAGATCGGACGGCGGTTAACTGTCAGAGACAACGCATGTAGATATACTCGTAGAAGCTGAACGTAGGCTTGGCTAGATCTATATGCACAAACCTGGGAAAATTGATGTCTTTGGTTCGCTTCAAACATCAGGCTAGCAAAATATATGTACAGCAAAAAAGTACAACACTCCACATCCTCAGATTCGTTCCTCTCGATTCGAATTCGGGGCAGAAAACCAACACCCCGCCCGTTAGCACTCGAGTCCTCCCTTCCTGCCCGCCCAGCCAGCCGCGGTGGCCGACGCGTGTCCAGCCGAGGCCAGGCGTGCCTCCTGGCCGCCCGGTGACCCCGGCAGCCAGCACGCCAGCGGCAGCGGCAAAGGTCGCCCGTGTCGCGCGGCCCGGGTGGCGGCGCCATTACCGTCTTATTGGCGGCGCCATTAGGGTCTTATGAGGCTAAGCAGCCGCGAGGTTTCCTGGAATGGCTCGTGGGCTAACGCTGTAACCAGCGGAACAAGAATCGAAACATCAGGGAATTACATCATGGTGTTCTGGCGATGCGGACAGCCTCACTTCGCGTGTAGCTGTATTTCAGATGTGAGTAAAAACAAATATGGGAGCTGAGTTCATTGCTCCCGCCATACGACCTTTCCACCGCCTCTGGCGAAACGTGTGACGTCGGTAGGTGAAAACCCTTTCAGGGTCTGTTTTCTCAGAGTCAGTCTGGCGGCTGCCAAAGTTGACCAACAGCGACGGTCCATCGGCCATCGGCGGCGACGTTCGACCCCTGACCTCTCGGCCGCCGACAGGGGGGGGGGGGGCGGCGCTAGGGGGGGGCTGCGCTAACAGGCTGTTGCCGATATAGCTTGGCAGTCGGCCCGGGGGGGGGGAGGGCAGGGTGGTCCTCTGGCCAGCTAGCCACCGCCCGAGGCACAACAGAGGCGGCCGTGGGAGGGGGGGGGGGGGGGGCAGGACACACTTGTCCAGCCGGCGCGGCGGGAGGCGACAGGTGTAAGCTAACGGCCGGCAGCGCTCGCTAACGCTGCACCTGGCTGGTCAATAAAAAGTGTTGCAAGGGTAAGAACGAGCGCAAGTCGCGAGTCAGAAAGGCCACATCGGCGGTGGAATCAGGGGGCGAACAAAGTTGACACATCAGGATAAAGCTCATGGTTACAGACAGTAGGTACGACTGACCAGCCAAGTGCACATTCATGATCTGCTTCGTCGGGCTTCTTAGGTCAAATGTTTCATGATACCTATCAATTTGGTGTCGCCCATGTTTTTAAACATGTGAGGCACATTTATGGGCTTAAATGTGTGGGTGTTACTCTGCTCTTACGTAATATGTCAAGGTATAAAACTGTTTATCATACTCAGTCCGCCACATGGCAGTTCCTTGAAATAGCAGACGACCACGCCATTAACCAACTGGGCCATATCACGTGTCTGAGATAAAACTGAAGCAATTAAAAAGTTGCCAGCTTTGACAGGGCTGACGAGCTGAGGTTTAGTTTACCGACGGGGGTGACATACGGTGAGAGTAGGAGAATAGAGGGAGTTGGAATGGGAGCATACGGTAGGACGAGATGTAGTAGCAATAAACAAAAAACGAAACCAATCGGCTTGGGAAATGTTTCTAGTAGAAAAGTAGGATGAATTAGACGGAATTACAAAGAAGGCAGATTTTAAGCCAAATAAAGATATAAATGCCGGAGGCAACGACAAATAGAAGTCTGAGAAGTCCGGCATAAAATCTGTACCTAAGTGTAAAGTCTATGAGTGTTTGAAGTCTGGGTAAGTGTTGTGATGAGGCACGTTTTCCCTTCATTTGGAAATTGGACTCCAGTCATATGGACACACTCATAAAAAACACTCCGGATTCGACCAAACAGTTGGATGGAGTCAGAACAGGCACCACTGGGCGGGCAGCGGACAGAGACCCCACTGAGCGGGGATCGCGGGCCGGGACTGAACAGCAGCTCTTACCTTGCTGAGGATGATCTCTGGTGCCAGGTACTCGGGGGTGCCGCACAGCGTCCAGGTCCTGCCCTTGACCCGCTTGGCGAACCCGAAGTCAGTGACCTGCGGCAGAACAGACGGCGGGGTCACAGGTCAGAAGGACGATCACAGGAGCTCGAACCAGGGGTCGGCGGAGCTAAGGCCATGAGATGGGAGGACACAGCACAGCCACTGTAAGCGATACGCCGTCTCAACTGGCCGCGGGACAAGCTCATGTACCAGTTTAGTGACTGAGTCCCTTTGCCATCAAATAAACAGAGCCAAGTGCTGAGTCAGAGCTCAGTCAGCCGGCTGCTCGCTGTAAATAATCGCATCATCGGCCCCGACGGTATACACGAGCCACAAACACTGGCCCAAACGACGGCCGTTTGGCGCATCATGCTGCTTTGATTAACCAATTACGGCACACAGTTTGGGACAAACGAGACGATAAATTGGGCTGTAACAAAACGTTCAATATTTTCTCTGTCTAAACCGACAGAAGTGGGTTTCAGAACAGACTAAAAGACAATTTCAAGAAGGATCTGCCAACTGACCTAGAAATTGTCATCGCAATCAATTACTATCGGGATTTCAGTGCCATGCTGACTGCTGACCTCGATCTGCTGCCTGAACTCGCGACCATTTCAACAAAGACTCGCCCCATATCAACTATGTTACTGCGCTACATCACCCCGGCAAACCACAACCAAGACAGACCATGCATACCGGCACCACGACCTCAGCCCACCATACACTAAACTCCGCAGTCACCTGCGTCACTGGCCATCTGTTTCCCAAGCTGCGAGTCTGTTTTACGAGCTGACTGCAACTACGCACTGCCGGAAAGTCCCTCAACGTACGCCATTCACCACCTGCCGAGCCCGGCACTACGACACCCGCGGGGCGTCTGATCGCACCCGCACTGATACCGTCCAGCAATACCCCCTCATTGCGCAGACGGCCGGAAAGGGTCGACCACCGGGGAGGAGGCAGGGGGTATGTACGACCTGTCGGCGACACCCCGTGACGTCAGACGCCCGTACGGCGCTGACGTTAGTGACGTCACGAGCAGAGAAACCAGCCAACGTCGGCACTGGGCGCGGCGAGAGAAGCCCCACGGAGCTCCTCATTGCCGCCGGCGCTTTCGCCGCCACCCCGCGAGTGCCCACATCCTGGTCAGTATGTAGATCGATGGCGGAGCGAAAAACTATGGAGGTCCAATGCTGACACTTCTGAGAGCTTTCTCAAAACCTCCAGGGAGGCCCGGAGCAGCGAACCCGCACCGACAGCTGCTTAGACATCGCACTGACGTTGATCTGCTTGACTTTGATCAAATAAAATTCTACGTCGTAAACGGATTCGCCACACACCCTAGTCACTGCCGTTCTTTCAGCACCAATGCCGTTATTGTATCTATTTAGCGCATCCCAGTAGTGTCCTCCATACCACAAACCACACCATCACTTCCTGTGGCAGCGAGCCCGCGGCCGTGGCTGTCACGAGCCACACAAAGAGCGTGACACGGACACGACGCTGGGTCAGTGACATCCCATCGACAGGGGTGGGGTCCCGGGGAGGGGGGGGGCTGTGCCGTGTCAGCACGCATCCGCTGATAGCGCCGATGACGCGTCATCGGCCGCCGAGCCGCCGAGCCAGCGGCACGCCCGCTGATATTATGTCATGCGATCGGCCGAAACATTGGATGGAGGTCACCCAACAGGGGAACGTCGCAGCGACGCAACGTAGACCTCACGATAGAAGAAGCGCTGTATAGTCAGCGTTTTCGATGGCCAGCATAGGGTTCCGTAACGTGGTTAGAAGACTCTACCCTCGCTGAAAGACCGCTTCGTCCACCTATCGACACACTTCTGCTGTGAGCATCATGGTTGATTGTCTTATTCCATGCCTTTCGAGTTTCGTTTCGTCCGATCACCTGACGGCACCTCCGCGACTCGTCACTGCTCCATCGTCTCGCGCGCCGCGTTCGCCGCGTGCCGGCCGGTGCCGCGCAGTAGGTGTCTCGGCTAATGACGGCTGCCTTATCGTGTCGGTCAGTCGGTGCCGACGGCGGCTGTCACTGGACCGGAATGGAGCCGATACTACAGCCAGACGTGCCGAGGGCTGATGATTGGCTTCCCGACGGAAGTCCCGAGCTGGACAGGCGCACGACGTAGTAGCCGGGTCATGAATGCATCGGCATGCATACCAGGTTGTCTCCCCAAGAAACCGTTCAGATATTTTCGTCAAAGTCAGTTTTATCGCCACTAATCAGCCTTCCAGAGCCACTAATGCATGCACTCTCTCCTTCCCTGCTCGTTCCAGCCGCAGAGCCCCCCCCCCCCCCCAACGCCCGCAGCGCGATGCCAGCAGCGACGGTGACCTCGGTGACCTCTGGTATCCAATGGCAGAGGTCATGTCGGCGCACAAATGGCCCCGGGCCGCGGGCCGTCACTGCACCGTAGCGAGTGGCGTGCCAGCCCGGCGACCCAGACTGAATGAGGGAGGGACGAGAGCGGATGGACGCAAGGGAGAGGGCGAGAGGAGAGAGGTCGGGGGAGGGTAGAAGAGGGAATGGAAGAGAGGATGGAGAGAGCAAGGGAGGGTCGGGTCAGAGACGAGAGTATCCAGGCTAGAAAGAAAAAAGCAAAGGAATAAATAGAAAATAAAAAAGAAAAGAAAAGAGAGCTGGCCGGGAGGCTGGGCTCCTGGAGCCAAATACGGCTGATAACGATCGTCCCAGCGGCGGTGCTGTGGAGACAAGCCCCTGCTAATGTCACAAACATTCACGAGCTGAAATAATCCAACTGAAAATAATCAACAAAGCATCCTCTGGGCTCTAACATCGGGAGCCGTCAGCTGCAATACATCCGGGACATTTCAAACCCGGGGACATCACACGTTCTCTCTGGCTGCAGCGCTTCAAGTACACTCTCGATGCCATTAAACCCGCGCCGGCGACCTTACCGAGCTCGGCAGCCCCCGGCACCCGACCTCTGACCTTTCACGGTCACGGGTCGTTTCATAATCAGAACCCGTGGGCGGCCGCGCGTCCCAGAAGAGCTCTTCTCGAGCGCGCCGGCCGCCGGGGACGAGTGGACAGGCGACTAGTCGCTCCAGCAACGGTCGCATCTCATGACCCCCTCCCTCCCTCGGTGATGAGAACGTCCCTCTGCAGGGCGACACAGTCCCTGGCGGCCGACGGGATGTTATGTCTGGGAGCACTGAGCGGTACTGCTGAGCGCGGCGAACACACCGATGCCGCCTCGCACATGTTCCTCGAAAACAGAGCGCCGCTGACCTTTGGAGCACGCCGTAATTCAGGTCGTGGGCGGATGACGGGCTTAATTCCCCGCACCAGATGTCTGCGGGAACGGGGCGTGCATACAGGACAGGCAGCCACACCATAGAACCGGGGACGGCGCCGTTTGGCCAAACACCAGCGCGCACTTGGAGAAATACTGCGCACTTCCTGACTGAGCGCGAGAGCTCGGAGGGCACTGTTGGCAAAAATCCTCTGCTCGAGAAGACGTCATGAAGATTCCACTCATGCTCAGCCGGGTTTTACCGTGAGGTCAAATGCACCGCGGCTCGCTATGAAACCGATTTAAACGGCCCCCAACCGGAGGTCTTCAAATGTCACCGGCGTAAACAAAGCGTGAGTCTGTACTCTGAGCCAGAGAGGGAAAAACGCGGCCTTATCCTCAGTGACAAAAGACAGACGACTATCAAAGCAGCACCGCTGGCTGGCTGGCCGGGCGGGTAACATGTGCCACCGCCCCAAAACGGCGGCCAATTGACAGAGAAGCCATGCTGATGATGTCATCCACTTGCCGCCGCCCATAGGAAGAGGATTCCTCAGCCAAAGTCCGCCTCGTCATCTCACAACAACCCATGATTGGCTGTGAACAGCGCTCTCTTCTCACTCTCGCTCTCTGAGTCCTTTGAAGGCGTGGAGTCGTGGGGCGGTAGCCGCGCGGCCGTCAGACCCGCCCTCCAGTCCCGCCGTCTTGATACCGCCCGTATGGACTGTATCAGGTGGAGGGATCACGCGTCTCCACGGAGAGTGAAAGCGGCGCTCGCCGGTCCGAGGCGCCGTTTGGCACGCACGAGGCGCCCGGAAGCCACTGGATCCGCCCCGAGAGACCCAGGGTGCCGCACGTTACGCCGCCCAGCCCGTCCGAGCGGCGCCGGTCCGGGCTGCCGTCCCGCGCCTTAGAGCCAAGTCGACGCCACGCTACTTCTTATCATCAGTCGTAACTTCACGGAATGCTATTGGCCCCTAATGTGGCCCGCCCTTAACTCCAACTTGAACGGACAACTGGAGTTTTTGCGGCTCCGCCAGAAATTCTTTTGCGCCATGGTGTAGCGCCACTCACAGGTGAAAGCCAGTTTTTCGTGGCTGGGATCAATCGGGGCGCTTTTTCGGGTCGTTGCCGCCTGGGTCGGCCCTCGAGTGGCGAGTGTGTTGATCGTGTCAAGAGAGGCCGTTGGTTAATCAGGTGGCGTTGACGGGAGAGGGACTGCCATTCTAGCGTCCGCGGCCGCCGGGCACATCCGGATCCATTCCGTGCAGCCACATTCACTCGGCGGACACAGGCATCTGTGGATACTCCATGGATAACATAGACTATCTGAGGGAAGACCGAGCTTTTCACACCCTTCCCAAACTCCGCCCTCTTACGTCTGATGTCCCGCCCTCTGCTGCCCTGACGCGCGCCGAAGCCACATGAAGCAGCCCCTACTCATGCCGCCCCGGTCGCTCTCAGCCTGCTGGAAGTCCCCGGTCAGCCGCTGAGCCCAGCCGACGTCACCGACCTGCCCGCGTGCAGGCAGGCGCCGCCACCGGCCGGCCCCGGACCAATAATGACCGTCCGATTAGATAGGTGCGCCGGCAGATGAGGCTCATATATTGACAGCCGGGGGCGGCCCTCAGCGCTCCGCGCCGCGCCGGCCGGTCAAGGCTGGGCCTCTCGGAGGAGCCGGCTCAATGACTCACTCCGCGGAGGTATGAAGCTCGGACACGCACGTTTCACACCAGCGAGAACAGGCCGCGGGCTCCGCAGCCTGCCCGTCACCACCCACTCCAACTGTATCCGACAGCCCGCCACCAGCGGCGGACGGCCTGCATTGGACGCCGAGCGGCAGCCACTATTGGAGCTTTGACGGCCGATGGCAGCTCGCCAGCAGCTCACATATACGGCGGCGCCGCGCGCGTCACAGCTTCGATAATAAACGCGATACGACGGCGGCGCCGCGACGATCGGATATCATTGTTGGGCGACGGGCCGGAGACGAGGCACGTCCAAAAAAACGGACACCAAAAAGCCCTGGCGTGCTCGGCTATCTGCTGCAGTGCAGGACAGGCGGCGAAAAAAGCAGGAACATCTGATGATCGGTGGTTGCCACGTCGTACAAAAAAAGCTAATTGTGAGGAAGTGCCCGCAGAGCGGAACATATGATGTTGGGATAAAAGATGAGTAATATATTTCATATGTATGATGATAATTTCTTCCAGGCCTTCTCAGTAGATGCTTTTGCAGTGGAACTGGCAGGTAGTGTTGATATTCTTGTAGAGATGTCCCTCCTTCGTCAATTGAAGTCATTTCTCCCGTCAGTAAGAGACAAATTAATAGCATCGTCTTCACTTCGAGTTTACATCACCCGCGCAACACAGTCACATTCTCCCGTGAATCAGCCATGACCGTCTAATATGGAAGGTCAGCGGTGGGCAGTGCAGAATGGGCGGCGGAAGGCGAACGTTGGACTGAGGACGGTGTTCAGTGGAATGTCTGACGGTCGACGACACTTGCAGGCCGTACTAGCACCAGTACAGAAGAACCCAGGACCCAGCACGGCGGAAGACTCCGAGCCCGCCCCGGCGGCACCTCAGGCCCGCCGAGGTCACGTCCGCCGCCTCCCGGCCCGCCCACCGTCCATCGATCGATGGTGGCTGCCGACCAGCCGGCCCCGACCGGCGCCATTAGTCACAGGGCGTCAACAGGCGGCGACGGGGGACTCATCGGTCGACGCAGCGCGACGGCGCCGGTCGCCACCGGGGTCGGCGAACCCATCGGCAGACGCGGGTGGGCTGCAGCGGTCCGTTGTCAGGCGAGGTAGAGCGTCAACGGGTGTCGTCACTGGCCGAGCCCCGGCTATCACCGACCTCTGTCTGTACTGGTACCGAGAAGCGTTTCGTGGAGCTCGTCGCAATAAGTTACTGAATCACTCAGCACACAGCGCAGTTGTAGCGATCGCAGGTGGTCTGTCACACTTTCTTTTGCACAATGGGCTGTCGACAGCTGTATAAACACCCAACAGCCGTCATCATGCATTCACAGTGCAATCAGCCATCACACCCGCCCGCTACTCCGTCCCCCGTCCCAGGCTGTCGGTAGAGCGGTCCCCACCTCCATCAGTCCATCAGCCTGACCGGTCCCGCTGAGTCCGGCGGGAGGTTGTCCGTCTCAGCGGCCGGTCTCAGACGGTATGAAGGTCACAGGACCGGCCCGGAGCCCACGGCGGTCCGAGCCGGGCTCAGCGGTCAGCGGGTTCGCCGAGACCGGCGTACCAGGCAAGCTCAGCGCTCAGCGGCCACAAGGCTGGGGTTTCAGACGACCGGCGGTGTTTGAAGGACAGCTGAGCTCAGCGTGCATGGGAGCTGACGCGGTATCCGCCAGAGACAGACGACGGGCTCCCAGGGCCGCTCAGGTGTCAACTGAGCTCGGCAGTCAATATCAACGGCAGTCAATTGATAGAGTCAGCAGTCAGCGCCCACAGCTCAGCGCTCTAAGCTCAGGATTCTCAGCTCGGGACACTTAGCTCAGGGGTCTTCACACTTCGCCTAATCAGTTCAGCCCAGCACTCTTAGCTCATGCGCTCTCAGCTCAACGTTCTCATTTCAGTACACTCAGTTCGGGCCGTTCAGCTCAGCCTCAGTCCGCTCAGCCCAGTCCGCTTGGCTCGGCGCTCTCAGCTCACTCATCCGGGTCCGTTCAGTACGCTTAGCTCAGTACGCTAAGCGAGGTGCGATGAGCGGCCACAGATGATCAGTAGACATCAGATCGCGTCCCGACGGCGCCGGCCGAACTAGGTCGCGCACCACCTCACAGATACGGTATACGTCAGTCTAACCGGGCGAGCATAATTGGGATCAGGCTATCAGCGATTAAGATGACCAGGAATCCAGACAGGCCCAGCGGCCATTGCGCAAAGCCTGTCCCAGATCACGATTTGGGTACGGTTAAACTCTATCTGGCGTGCAACTTGTCCGGCTTTACGCTGGAACAAACTTGGAGGGATTCTGACTACTCGAGGTTCGGAGCGGAGCTCACAACATGGCTACGCTGTTTACTAAACTTCGCACCTCTGCACGGTAAATTCTAAGAAAATAAAACCGCTATCTCTTCAAGCCAAGTCAAAGTGTACGCATTCATTTTAACGAACCAGGAAATAATCAACCGCTATATTCAAAAATAAATAAAATTAAAATAAACACTTTCTGCGATGCAATTACGACGCACACCTACGCAACCAAACAAATGACGATCAACCAGCAATGATTGTGCACAATTAGCATCATTACTTCACCTTTAGAGACCAAACGTGCTCCAATGGGAAGAGTTTTGACTGATGTGCCAAAGAAACGTTTACACCTAAGCTGAGAGAAGCATCTTTATTGACAAAAATGGAAGGACGTTTGTGTGTTAAATGACGGTTTAGAGACATGTTTCTTACCTTGATGTATCCCTGGCTGTCTATGAGCAGGTTCTCAGGCTTCAGGTCCCGATAGATGAGGTCCAGGTAGTGCAGGTACTCGAACGCCAGCACGATCTGGGCCGCGTAGAACCGGGAGTGCGACTCGCTGTCGGAGTCGCGGGAGTCACCGGTCAGACACCAGAGTCAAAACGAGTCACAACACATCACACACAACTCAACGTCGACCTAACCAACCCGGACATCGACAGAGTACTGTCCAATTCATTAGCCGTGTAGATTTATGACGACAATACGGACCTGACGCAATCAACACAGAACCGTGTGCACGACAGGCGACCGGTGCACACGGAGCCGGGTGATCCGGTCACGCTACAGCCGCCGCGCGCGTGGCGTGCCGACGTGCGCCGCTTCACCAGTTATGTGCTACCGCGAACAGCGCGCACAACCATCGCCAGCCATTCAGCCATTAGCCGACCAACCACAGCCACATGCAGGATTAGGGGGCCCAGAACAGACGGCAGTCAGTTTACGTAAGTTAATTGCCAGCGTGCGTATCTGCAAGACACAAAAGCAAAAGCTGAAAGGACTGAAATAGATGTTATATAAAGCTGTGGTCGCAAAGCGGATGTCAGTAAAGCATGTGTGTCACGACCTTTTACAAAGTGCATTAGAGGCACATAGACGATGCATCACCATGCGGGCATGTAAGGTCAGATCCCTTCGAAATGCCAAGAACGGCGAATTTTCTCCTACCATCGGTGTTATCCTGATCCTATTCAATCCCCCAGGCCATACAGCCACCACCCAGGAGTGCAGTCGCGTTAGACCCGTTTCGCCAGCTCCGGCTATGCCTTCCACGGCCTCTGGCACTGTCCGATACCGCTCATGCCACTGCTACCTTCCCCGGCCTCTGGCATGGTCCTGCCGCCACGGCTGAGCCGCTCGGACCAGTCCACACCACCTGTGTCCGGTGCGAGCCGCCCTGAGCCGCTGTGAGCCACCCACAGTGCCTCTCCGAGCTCCGTCCACCAGTCCGGTGATCTATGATTCCTCGTGCCGCCGCGGTGTCACGCCAGCCGTGAGCGGCCCCATCTGTGTGCCGGCGCGCCGCACCGCGGATACCAGAGGCACGCGCCTCTGATCAATACATCGGCACCGAGCCGGCGACGGCGGCGACGCATGCCGGGGCAGGGGGACTGGGGAGGGGGAGGGAGACAGGTATGGAGAGGGGGCACGGACTGGGGAAGGAGAAAAAGGACCAAACAGGAGGAGCGATTGAGGTAGTAAAAAAAAAAAAAAAACAGAAACAGAAACTTTATGAGGTTAGATGGAAATAGTAATAAATGAGTCTAAACTAGTGACAGGGATAACGTAACGATATCAAATCTCCAAGTACGAGTAATAAGGCAGCCCACAAATGCATATGTGGATATCGGATACTTCCTAAACCGAATACCTACTCCCTAAGATGGCGAGGTCCGCGCCTACGCACGCTGGATAAGTTTTATTCGGAGAAGTTTCGAACCACGTTGATTATTAATTACGTTCCGTTCCGTGTTTGTTCAGGGCATGTTTTTTTCTGTCAGCCTGATTTATGAAAGAGGAAACGAAAAATCCTCATCTAAAAGTAGAAATTCTTGTCACGAACCACAGCGCGGCTGCCGACAAAGCCTGATGAGCCTAACTGCAGAGCCGACGATTTAATGAGGCTCGCCGCCCAGCCTGTATCCGGACATAAAAAGAAACGATGTGGCGGCCGTGCTACCGACGCCGACACGAAAGGCACGGCCCCTGCGACCCTAGTCTGTGGGACACCATCTGACAAGGACAGCCGTGTCGGCACCGGACCGGCGGCTCCACGGGACTGACAATCACGTCCGGTTTCAGCGGAGCCAGTCTCTAACGATCCCCGATTACTGCCGGACTTATAAAGCGGCCCCAGAGGGCAGCCGCACGGCCGCGGATCACGGTGCCTTATCGCCGCGCCGCAGGCGTCACTTGTCAGACGGACTGAAGTCTGTGTTTGTGGCCGCAGCCGGACCGCAATGGCACAAGTTAGGGACTGTATGGAGGTGGGCATGGGAAGGCGGACATACAGAGACAGATATACAATCAGACAGCTATCAGCACACATACAAACAAAAAGAAAATATAACGACACACCAAAGCAAAATATATAACAATTATAAAAACTTAAAGAGACATTGATGCAATAATTTAGACGGACACATCCAGCCAGCCAGACAGACGGACGGACAGATGTATAAATAGACAGATAGGACTGATAGACGCTGATTGGAGCTGAATGGGACGACTGTTGGCCGGAGATTTCGCGGAGCGGCGCCGGGCTCATGATCAAACGGAACCAAGTGATCGGTCATGTCCCCTTCCCTCCTCCCCCGGCCACTCATCCCAACTGGCCGCCGCCGCCGCCGCCGCCGCCTGCAATGCGGCTCCGCGCCATATACATCGGCTGGGGGCTCACTGGGCACGTTTGGACGGCAGAGGCGCCGGCAGAAGCGGCTGAGGCTGAGCAGCGGGGGCGGGCCACTCGAGGCCCTCTCTGACTTGGCAGACTGCCTGCCCGCTCTCAGACGGGCGCAGCGGTCCGAGGGCTGACGTCAAGCCCGCGGAAGTTACGACCGGTCAGGGAAATGTATGCCGAGGAAAACGTGCCCCCGCATGTGCCGCGCTAAGCGCACGGCCACGGCCGGCCGCCGACCGTGACAAGGCACGACCTGATCGCGATCAGAGCAGCGTGTCTGGCCCGGGCATGCCCCAAGTGCCGGTGTATAGAGCGGAATGTGCCGGGTTAGTGCCTGCATGCAATGCTAGTGCTTGGCATGCTGTGAGAAAGAGCGGTGAGAGTCATGCACGCCAGCAATGATCTTACCTAAACCTGCCGCTTTTTCTAAGATGAGAGAACATCTCTCCACCGGGTACGTACTCTAAAACCATGTACAAATTTGAATTATCCTGCAACAGAACGGGGTCGGCATTAGCGCCAGCCGCGCAGGCCAGCTGAACACAAACGGCCCAGAGCAGACGACACAATATCAACAGCAGGGTCCCTCTGAGCGGCGGAGCTGGAACAGCAGCGGCTCCTGCAAAAGGCGGCGACACGGCGCTCTAATACGGACACCCGGACAACACACCCCGCGGACACCCCGGGACACACGGACACGCCCGGACACCCCGCCGCCGAGCGCCGGCCCTTACTGGAAGCCGCGTTTGGTGGCGGCCCTCAGCCGGCGAAGGTGGAAGAACATTTCTCCGCCAGACACGTACGGCAGAATGATGTACAGGTTTTTGTTGTCCTGTAACGGTGACACGTCATATGGCTGGGGGATGCACGGAACACAGAACAGCAACCACGTCCACTGCTATACCTACTGAGGACGCTGAAGGGGCGACATTGGCCGCCGCACGAGTCAAAATGACACGGGCCGGCTGTCTCGCAATAGCATACGACGCAGCAATTAAAACGTATTTCCGGAATGTAAACATTATAATGGTCAAATATCTTCCTTCACAGGACAAAACCAGCTGGCACGCTGCGCTGCAACTAAATGCATCACAATGAAGGCACTTATCTGAAACTGATAGGCCGTGAATTAAAGGTTACATAATCAGTCAATAATCCCGCACACAATGCAGCCGTGCCTGATTGCATTCCAGTCCGGGCGGCTTTGCCAATTACCGCTCCAGCCGCGACACACCTTGGCCATTAGAGCTCAGCCCGTTTTGATCCTGCCCAGATCTAGGTCAGACCTTTTTCTTCAGCTTCGATAACCTCCCCGGCCGCCCAATAGGTGCCCGTCTAATCACATCCTTATCGGGGGTTTCACGGGCGCGGGGCGCGCCGGTGTGGGTATGCACAAAGCCCCGGTGTGTAGGTAGCTGCGGCAGCTCCTGGGTCTGTGACAGCTGCTGCAGCTCAGACTAGGCTGTGCCAGGGATCGTCCGGGAGCCTCAGACAGCCGGCTCCCCATCCCCGGGGCTAATTAGACCGTAATGAGGGCGGCGCGGGCCGGCGGTGACACCGGATCCCCGCAGGGGGAGGGGGAGGCCCATACCCTCCGCATCACGCGGCGCATAACGCGGCCAGACTGCACAGACGAGAACTGGAGGCAGAACAGAGCCACACACCGGCACACGCCCAGCCACGGTCTACGGGGACCCTGTGTGTGAATTGAGTCGGCGGGCGAATGGGTTGGAGAGCGGCCCAGATGGTACCCTGGAGTATCCAGAGGTGGATTTAATTCGGGCCGAGAGGTCACCGCCTCAGACTGTCTGGGAACACCGGACCAACTCAGCTCAGTGTGTCACCCACACGGCGACGGGCTGTCATGAAGAGTCGCTCAGCTCGGGCAGCCGGGCAGCAGCGAACGAGTCGCGCCGGAACAGCCCGGCTTTAATGGGTAAACTAAATTTAGCCGCGATTTAGTAGTGTAAGCGCCCACACGAACCGGCTGAAAAATGCCTAGATTGCATGCCGAGTGCCATACACAGCAGCAATGACGGTGATCCGCTCCCCGACACGGCGAGGCGGTACGGTTTTTAGAGTGACTTTTTACGTCATTTCAGTGAAGCTGATTCAAAGCTTGGCCAAACATCAAGTCATCCCAAGATAGCTGCCACAACGCCGCCAATAATATCGCATCCTTATGATGGGAAGCATGTAGACTCCGTCAACAAATACGGTAACTTTCGGCGTAGTGAACACACAGCCAACGCAAACACAAGTGTTGGCCGCGAGCAGCAGAGATTGCCGCTAAAACACCCGTTACGAAACAGGAATTCACATTGTACTGAAGCCACGGTAAACACAAACGCCAAGGTCTGTTATCGAATTACACTGATTAATGAAACGTCTCTGTCTACAGTTTGTTCTGATCCTCCTTTCCACTAGCAACACTGTTTTACATGTGATTCACGAATCGTTTCAGCACCCAGAATAGACATTTCGTTACTCTTATTCGTGTGTCTCATTCAGCTACCGCTATGCTCAGCGAATCCACAGGTGTCTCGACAGGGCCCACCCACTGCCCGCTCCACAATGGGCCAGCAGCTGCACAATCAGCCCACGTACCGCCTACCTAACGTCGAGCCGCCGCCGAGCGGCATGTCGGAACCGCTCCTGAACGGCCGCTCTGCTAAATCCATTACGCCCTAAACAGTCACAGCGATATAAATGCACAATGCACACTGAAAGTCAATAACTGAAATAAGCGCAGCTGATTGGCATGTTCCTTGCAAATCGGGGAACTCGGGGACTGAAAACAATTGGGGAACTCTGGGACTGAAAACTATAACACAAGCAGAACACTGACAAAACATTTACCAGTGAGAAACAAAAGTCAGACTAAACGTTGCAACGACAGGTGCTAATACAACTTGCGATGAAGAGCCAAATAATATTAGACAAGTTAGATTCGCAGTGGATTTGACAAGAGATGTTTTGAAGAACCAATGACCCGCGTCCACCGACTCACCTTAAAATGGTACTGCAGACTAACAAGGAAGGGGAAGCTGATCGCCTGGAGAATTCGCTTCTCATTCAGAGTGTGCTCGACTTGCTTCAGGCGAACCACCTGAGGGCGAAGGAAGAAAAATCGTCAGAATACCAGACACCGTTACTGTCAGCTTTTTTGCACCGAACAGCACCGAACATTTTTGATCACGCATTGTAGTGCATTTTTAGTGTTGTCCGGCCGTTGCCGTCGGTATGATGTCATCGTTACGTCCTACGACCTTGGGTGTCACGCGGCACACGAGCAATATTTCTATAATAGAGTGCATTGAGCTGGTGTGCAGTGTGCTATTATAGTCAGTTTACCGAACTGTACCAACTGTACCAAAAATATTAGCACCGTAAGCTGACGCCCGCTGCACACCATATATCGGACCAAACAAGGCACTATTTACGGCTGTGTTAACATGATGATGTCAATATAGCGGCATTGGGCAAGCCACAGAACTTTCAGAGCCGCTTCAATGAGTCACTGCGTCAGAACATTTATCGTCACAATACATAATGAAATGGGTCTCCTAGCGGGCAACTAATTCATTTTCCATGCAGAACAAGCTTCCGACCAAAAATGGAGCCGGGTCGAGTCCTGTCGACGGCGCCAGTCAGCTCATCTGTCGGTCCGGGCTGACATGTCTGTCTGTCTGTCTGTCTGTCTGTCTGTCTGTCGGTCCGAGCTGCAGCCTACAAATCACCATGCAGCCATTCAGTTGTCCGTCTAGTAGGCATAGAGGGCAGTCTGAGCTCCAGCACTTGACCCGCGATATTTCATTAGCCGTGCAAAATAGACAGCAAGATAGTCTGTTCAGCATCATTTGTCCACAATCACCTCAGAGGCCAGCTCTGTCGATTTGAGCAGGTGTGTCTTGAGTTATATCCCTGGCAGGCCAACGTAAGTCCGCTCCGTGCCAATGTCCCCGATCACCTCAGAGCTCTGTCGATTTGGGCAGGTGTGTTTGAGTTCTCTTCCTGAGAGGTCGTGTCGGTAAGTCCGCTCCGTGCCAATGTCCCCGCGACATTCGCGGCATTCTCTCGCTCATTCTCTTCGCCACGATTACGGTCAGGATGAGTCTCGTTTACGGTGACCCGGGATGACCCAGCCCGCCCCGCCCACTGCCGTAGCCTGACGTGGACTTTGCCGGACTCAGGTCAGCCGCCACCAGCCCAGCTGCCCGGGTCTCAGTCCAGCCCTCGGCACTGTCTGCAGCGGGAGCGGTAACCGTCCGTCCAACACTGGCGGCCGCTGATCGGTCCCGGCCGCACCTCTAGCGCCGCCAGCCGGCTCCATCGCTCCAGCCGGCCGCTGCACCGATGGCCGCTCAAAACGGTCTCATCACCGGGCTGAGCACAGCTCCGGCTGCCAGCTCGTGGAGCGATCACATATGTCAGTGACAGCCGCCGCAGCTCGGAGCCGGCCGGCCCGGTAACTGCCCTCCCGGCAGCCCACGGTCCTCCGACCGGTGACATCCAGCCGGGTCAAAGGACTGACCTGACACCGGCGCGGCGCCGGTATAGGTACCGTGGGATAGCGTCACGCCGAGCCCTGACGTCATCGGCGCCGGGACGGTCAATGCCAGCGGCAAGCTCCACCAGCGCAATGGTGTATTTTCGCGACCGCCTCACACAGAATCAGTGCATATTTCTGGGCTGACTGGGATAATTCGCCCACTGGGATATTTTGAGTCACTTTCGTCCTCTTTCATGTCCGGTAACCCGATTTATTAGATTTTATCCGACAGTCCCCATCGCCGCACGGCACTGGTTCAGGATCAAACAAACATGCGGATTAAATTTCACTCAGAGGCGTTCGTTGGCGTACCTGAAATCCTCACTTTCTGGTAGCGAGCTACGACCCAAAATTAGCCATAGTCCAGGCAGAAATAAAAGTACGCCCAATTGAGTGAAGTGTCGACCCAGAGTGTTGCTAATTTTCATGGACCAGGCGGGAGCCCTGTCACTGAGGTCGGCGTGTTTGGAGCCTGCTAAACTGGGAAGCTATCCGGGTCACGGGTCTGTTCCTAGCGAGGACTCGGGAGAAGCCTCTCATCCAGTATTCAGGGAGGCTCGATTAGCCCTCTGAACTTGGGTCCACCGGGAGGGACCTCATTTCGATACGGGATGTGTGAAAATAGGCGCGAGTCGCTCAGTCAAGTCTGCCGGGAAATGTCACTCTTCCCTGCAGGTTTATGTATGGAAGACTCTGAACGATCATAGCAACTGCAAAGCACCTTCAATCAAGGACTGCGCTCAATGTGTGGAAGATTAAGAAGGCAAAGGGCGCTGATCAGCGCGGCGGACGCCTGTGTCAAACTGGATGGATAGATTTAGATACATATGTACATATAGAGACATACATATAGGAATATGTCCGGGTAGCTGGACACTTCAGACGAAGTGGGGAAGGGAAAAGCAAGCGAGGGATTGTGAGGAAGCAATAGAAGGAACTGCTGCCGTAAAATGAAAAAGCAAAACGCAAAGAAAAATGATAAGGAACACCGTGCCGATTTTCACATCACATTAGCCATGAAACAATGAACGAAAACCATGGGCGGCGCCACTGGGGGGGACGGGGGGGACAGGTCCCCCGCTATCGAAAGTTAGGGGGGTACAGTACCCCCCTATCGGCGAGGCCCGTTCAATAATTGATAATAATGCATTGTAAAGTTATCCGTCGCATTTAATGCATCGTTGGTTAATCAAGGCAGGTTCTGAATAAAGATTGCTGTTGGGATGTATCGCAGGGGGTCCTGGCCATCTGCAAAAGGTGTGGAGCTGTGATGCCTATAAGGTGATCGGCAGGGCCTCGGGGATCGTGCCCCCTTTTTTGGGGCGCCAGGCAGGGTTATTACCTCCCCACCCCACTGCCAGACCACATTGCCGACAAAACCAAGTTAACTGAAATTCCATAGATTTCCGTTACTATATGGATATTTTCCATTCCTAATTAGTCAAATTCAAGCATGGCAGTTCTACCACAGGAACCATTTGAAATCTATGCCATTTAACCCCAGCACTTGTGGGGAGAAGTGTTCGGATAGATCACAGGCAGGACCAAAAAAGCACGCAGTAGCCCAAGACCTTACAATTGGGTAGCATCGGCTCCCTCTCGTCAAGGAGTTCGATAGCACTCGTTTTTTTTCTGCAAAACAAAGTTCGGTCGGCGGCCGAACGGCTGGGGGTCTAATCGAGCCCCCCCTCCCCTTCTTACGTCAGCGGCTATGAAAATGCCATTACCAGCTGTTGAAACATGGCAGTTGTTTTGCATGAGTGCACGAAAGTGTTTTAGGTACGTGATACGTGAAAGGTTCTACATGGAAACTGAGATACACCAGCTTATCAAATTGTGCTCACTGTGGTGCGCTCGGTTTTACCTTGACTAGTCTTTGAATTCTGGGGTGAAACAGACCAGTCAAGAAACCTGTTCCATAAGGAGAGCCACTAATGCTAAAGAGATGAGGGATGAGGTTTCCAGAGACCTTCATTACCTCTTAAAGGGGGTGCCCCGCCATTTGCCAATCCCCATGCTGTGTTGTTACGATTGGAGGGTGAATATGAGAACGATGCAGGTCGTGCCAGCTCGATCATGACGAACACAATGGTGCCGACATCACAGCTCTACTGCCATTTTTGACGAAGTTAATCAACAAGGACCGGAATCCTACCCTGGGGCATTTCACCTGCAGAGGCCGCCGGACCTGAGACCCTTTCACTCAATTTTTTTCAACGGTGCATGCGGCATGCGCTCGTTTTTCCCGCGAAGCTCTTGGTAAGTAAAATCCATCAGAAAGTGTGATCAAATAACGGCTGGTGACCTTCCATGACCTAGCATGACCTTTTGAGTGACCACCAATGACATGACCACTGACGGCTAGCCATTAGCTGCACCCTGCCCGTTGCATATGGATCAGGTGGTGATGTCATGATTCTGAAATTATATTGCAGTTTTGGCGCACTTGTCAGAGCAGAAGACATTCCCACTTTTCCTCCATGACTATATGATGGTGAATCCATGAAGCTGACCAGACGTAAGATCGAAAATTTGAAAGTACGAAACGTAAGAATAGTTGGCACTGCTACTCGACATTGACCGACCGGTCGCGAACTTCCCGCCTCCGGATTTCCAGCCGGACACCCAATCCACTCGGCCACGCGGCCAGTATCCCTAAGCAATTCGCAGCTTGTAGGAAACCAGCTTTGAGTTGGCAAGACTGCAAATTTTGATTTAGAGGCAAGGATGCTTGAAAAGGTGATCGATCTTAGGTGTCCTAGGATAAGTTTGGAAACGGGATGCACCATTCGATGTGTTTTGGGCTTTGCCAAGTTTCGCGGCGTTACGTGCCTCGTTTTTTTTTTTTGCATACACGATCAGTATCTACTTTTGGGATTTTCGGACAGCTACAGTCCCCATCCCCCCCTATCGAAAACCCGTGGCGCCGCCCCTGACGAAAACAAGCGGAAACGCAAAAATTCATCATCTATTTTAGATCTGTATACGATCTCACACCAATTCCGCGATCCCATAAGCGTCCAATCTTTCCCCAGCCATCCACATGATTGAGTCGAACGCCATAAAATCATGGCTGGCCATCGGCTGAATTTCACGGACGAGTTCCTCGTCGCCGTATTAAATTCCGATCGCTACGAACTGCGATGTCACCGTTCGGGCCACACGCCACCCAGGGGGACGACGCATCTGTATTATAGAGCCGGACGAATTAATTCATCCACCGGGACCACACCCAATCCGACATTTGGTGCGGCCATTTGGTACAGGTCGTAGGACATCGACGACATATCACCAGCCGTTATTGAAGATATGCTTGCAGCCAGTTATGTCAAATATCACGGATGGCGGCCACTGCGCAGAACTTTTAAAATAGAAGAATCAATATTATGCAGTCATTAGTGGCTGACCGTGCGCTGCTGCGGAGCATCATAATCACCAATTCATCACCAATCCAGGTGCTCTACAGGTAATCCTGGAAGTTCAGCACAAGATCAAACCCAGCGTCGGGTTTAGCCCTCGGTTTCCGACTCTCAACTTCCACAGCACACCGCAGCACC